CAAAGCAGAGATTTCCTTTCACAGTGAGTCCTGCACAGCAACACAGTGGAAACAGCTATAAACCTTTTTTATTCCAAGACTTCAAATCTGTTTATTTGTGCTGTGAAGTTGGGCATTTGCTCATCAGGGAGTGATGTAGGTGCAGTAATAAATGCAGCTAGCGTAGCACTTGAATAGTTACTTTCCAGTGTTTTTCAGTATTTCCAGTAAACCCCCCCAAAAAGCACTTTCTGACACGATTGCTGCTCACATCACAGAGGACAGCGCCTCTGTGATGTGAGGATGACGCCGCATGTTGGCGTTCCCTTCTTTGGCTGAGCCGTGCGCTCAGATACAGGCGCCTGCGGGGAAACAATGATTTTGCTTTAATCGCAGGTGGCAGAGAAATGGTTCGAGGACACTACGTACACAGTGGAGGCAGCTGCTATAACCGGGGCTTTGATTTCACTGGTGATCAAAGTGGTTTTATTCTGGGGCCTCATCAGACTGGTACACAGCTTTGGACAAGGCCTGAGAGAGAGAAGTGAGTTTACTGCTTCAGTCCCTTAAGAGTTACTTTGAGCACAACACTAAACACACACTGCATCTGCAGAACACCGAGTTAGCAGTTTCTGTTTCTTCCTAAATACCCTGAATTTGTTTGTTCGAGATGTTGATTGTAAGAAAACCAGAGTTTTCCTGAATCTGCCAGAATACTGAAACCCTTGTTTTTATTGCTCTTCACAGTGTTTGCACATAATAGGTGATAGAACATCAGGACCAAGGAAACAGCTGCACGCTGTGGGCTTAAAGCACCGTGCTGCTGACCGCGAAGCTCACATTTGTATTCAGCATCAAGTGTGCCAAAATCATCACTCAGCATTGTTTTATTTTTCCATGTTCTGTATACTGTAAGAATGTTAATGTGTTTCTGGCTTCAGCGGCGTCCCTGTTTACAGAATTTAAATGAATTCTCAGGGGTTTTTTTGGGTTTTTTTTTTTTAATTTTTTTATTTCAGTCAACAACAACAACACCAACAGATTATAATTTTACATAAAAGTACTCAAACAGTAACCGAAAAAGGAATCTGATCATATCAGATGTTTGCATCTGATATGATCAGTCTGTACCTGAATACGTGCATGCATCATGACGTGCGATGCAGCTCTCTGTATTTAAGTCCTCACTATCCAGGTTGTGCCAACACTTTTATATTAGTGCATTACGTGTATTAGCTAAGCATGGCTCACTGATTCTATGAGCTCCATTGTTTTTGCCCCTGCTGAGCGTACGCTCTGTCGCTCTCTGTGGCACGACTAAAATATTTCCTTTGAATGTCGCCACGCAGGTAGATTGTTCTGGTATCCTGTCAACATGCGTTTGTAAACCAGCTTCATATAATCGTTTTTACACCAATATGCATTTTAACACCTAAATCGAGTTTTGTAGCGTTGCCAACATCCTCCACTTTTTAAAAAATGTGATTTCTTCCTGTAAATTGTATTCACAGTTATGACTGATTTAAGTTTGCTTTTTAAAATTAGAAATGTGTAAATTAACTCGTGCAGTCGACCACCACGACTAGCCGTGTTTTTATTGACATATTTTTTAAACTGTCTGCTGCACTTTCATGCGCTCCTGTTTTTTTCATCCAAAGTTCTTAATAAAGTATTTTAACAAAAACTTTGACATTTTGATTTACTGATCTTTTTGGGACATGCAGCTCTGTGCAAGTCTCGATCCACTCCTCGTATTTTGCTTTCAGCGAGCCAGACGTTGTTGTACTTCTCCAAAGGGAGGGAGTGTGTAATCCTTCTGTTTGTCCGTCTGTTCGTTAGCAGTGTATCGCCCAGTTTTCAATATATCATTTTCAAATTTTGTGTGATGGTACATACCAATAACAGCTCGAGCTGATTTAATTTAGGGTCAAGTTCAAGGTCAGACCAAAAGTGAAAATCACTAATAACTTTATATTACCCACAATTCTTAGTGGATTGTTTTCAAACTTCACAACAATATACCAGGCCTTGTATTTGACCTTGACCATAATTGTCACTGCCCAAGAAACCATGTGTCATATGAAAGGGCATGGAGAGAAGTACAACAACATTTGACGTCACAATAACAGGCTGACGTCAACGTAACGTTTTAAAGTGGTCTTTTCAGTCACCTTTTACACGAGGATTTTCAGAGGAATGTTTTTGTGTATGTTAAGCCACTTAAAACTGAATCATGATGAATCATTCAAGCATAAAAAACACCTTATCAAAGGATGAACCGGTGTTGTGTCTCTATAACAGGCAACTGGGCAAAGTAGCTATTTTAAATGGTTTCTTTAGGCTCCTTGTTGCTGGAAACGTCACAAAACAGAGCTATCGGGTGAAAACTTATAACTTGGCGTGATGTACTTGTGTACGTGTGTACTTAAACATTTTGGGGAAACTGGACAGGACGAAGGACAAAAAAGTGGCAGGACTTTAAAAAAAAAAGTAAAAACACTGATCTACAGCAGGTGAACATTATCTGAAAGTTACGTCCTTAAGAAAGAGGGGGGGGAAAGTCAGCAAAGACCTGACACGGGACCAGCTGATCCATCTACTCACTGAAGCCTGCACTTCACTCCATGGCGTTGGGGGATCTCGAGTACCATGCGACTCAGGACTGTACTTAAAGTAACTCTGTGCAAATGCCCGTGATTTTATCATATAACTGGTTTCATTTGTCGAAGCACTTGATCAGACGGTTGTTGGTTAACCCTGTTTATTAAATGTTTTGGGAAAAATATCAGACTCCATATTAGAAACATTAACAAGTGTACTCATACAAAATTCCCATTTACAAAAGTGAAAAGCACTTTGAGAGTTGACAATGCTTCACAGAAGGGTCGTCAAAGCCTGGTTATCTTACTGAACTTCGCGTGTGTGTGTTTTTAAACTGAGATTAAACAGTTCAGACCAACATTTGAAATAATTCTGCCACCGTCCACGTCAGAAATGACATTTTTCACTTTGTCCTGGAATGCATTTCAAGAGATATTTAACTCAGTTTGTACTTCTGTCCAATGACACCGTGCTAGAAATTCAGTTGGATGAGCAGAACTACTAAAAGCAGATTGGTCTTCATCAGTGAAACAGAATTTACAACCAAAGAATGTAAAAGAAAAAGTACTAAATAGATTTATTATCCATTAGTAATACATTAGAAACTGTTAATAAACACATGAACTTTACAAAATACATCTTATTCAAACATTACATTTATATACATACTCAAAGGTTTAAGGAATAATTAGCTGTTAGTGCTCAGGTGGTTTTTGTTTAGCGTTACAGATGAAAGCTATTCATCTTTTCACCCTGACACAGTTTGTTGAGCCAATTCACAACACATATATATTAACTTCCGGGCACTAAGCCCGAACAGACATGTAAGGCAGGCCACCTCAAAGTAATCATGAAAGGCAGCACAGGGGTAAACTGATAAGAACAGATCCAAAGTCTCACACACAGACCATTAAACCACCCACAGCCCACAGACATTGGTCTATAAAATATACTATGGCTTAAAGCACATTTTAAAAAGCAGACTTTAAAAATACAAAGTATGAAATACGAAGACTTCCAATCTGTGTTCTCTTAGCCTGGAATGGATACCGCCTCCTAGTGTTCACCCCGTGGTTGATAGTAGCGATATTACACAATGTAATAAATGACACAAACGAGTGACAATCAAGTGCTGTGAACAGCGCAGACAAACAGTCACAATGTGGTAACAATGAGAATGCACAAAAACACAAATCTGTGATTTTTGTTTTTGTTTTTAAAGTGTGGTGTAAACCTTGAAAAATATTACTTCTTTACATGAATGATACCAGTGTTTAAGGCACAGTCTGTAATGTTGTGTTGCTAGGTAGATGTACTTTAAATCTGCTCCTCCATGAGACGCAACTAAAAAAACTCTAAAAACAACATTTGCCTTTCATTGATAGCATTACATCCATATTTATTTTTTACCAGAGTTGGATCTTTCCTGAAAGGTGCAACTCTGCCGTCACCCCCACAGAGAGCTAGTTTTTACCCTGCCATCTGATTAAAAAGTGCTACGACACATCTGATAACCACCATCTGATAACCACAACTGACCTTTAAGTTTCAGTACAAGATCACTTCAAGTGTTGCATTTCCTTTTCATTTTTAGTCAAAACACTTTGTTAACAAGCTGAAGTTTCAACTTCAAGAAAGGAGAGGTTTTCACAGCATTCAGATCCTGGAGTAATAGTGGAACCAAACTCCATTCAAAAATCCATCGTTTTAAAAGTCTTACACACCGAACGTCCAGTGGGAACATTTGGGAAATTGTATTAATGCTTCAAAGTTCACAAAGAAAAAAAAATTTATTTGGTTTAATTTTCTTTAACTAATGCTTTTAAAAATGCTCATTTGTTTTTATTTATTAAAGTCATATTTTGAATTTTAAGGGCATGTCGCAGCGTCCACATTTCAGCCAATTGCAGTCGTTACAGGAGCTTAGCTTTTTACTGTCGTGAACGAAATGTTTACCAAAAAACAAGAATGATGAAACAGTATTTTAGAAAGTAGGACTTAGTATTAGTTGTTTGTTTTTTTAATTAAAAGGACCTTGAATGCTTGTCCTTATTTTCTATCATATATGCACAGTGGTACACTGGTAGAGCTTCAAACTGCTCGGTCATTTTTTTCCTTCTAGTTTTGGGTATTTATGATGTCAGTGAGAACAGACAATCCCTAACCTTCTGTTTACAAAGCGCAGCCAATCAAAAGAAAGCCGTCTTCATGAGGGGGTGGGGGAACTAAAACTGTTGCTGTGAAGGTGGATGAAATGAGGGGCTGTAGCAACCTCGTTTTACTGAAAACTATTATAACAGATTTTTTTATTTTTTTGAAGGGAGTTTGGTGAGACCTATCCGTAAAAGATGGAGAGAAAGAAATGGCACAGAGAACGGTCAAGCTAAAACCAAGACTTTAAGGAGACCCCGAAGAAGGCCTCAGAATTCCTCATCCTCTGAGCTGAGGTAGTTCTGCTTCTTCCTCACGTTCCAGTGTAAGCACTGGGCCAGGCTCTCGAACCAGTCATTAACCGGGTCCCGGAAGCAGATCGATGGAACGGGGAAGCAGGAAGTGGTGATGGTAATACTGGAGCAAGAATTGAAATGGGGAAAAAAATAAATAAATAAATGAAAGGAGTTGTACTTTTTAAGGACTGAACAAGGAAAGAAAATGTTCATTGTTTGCAGTCTCAACAAAAGAGGTGTTGTCTTCAAACTTCCTTATAAAAAAAAAAA